AATAAAAGTGTTATCTGTCTCAAAAAAAATGCAAAAAATTTATATGGGTACAGTTTTGCATTACCGTGCAATTGTCACTCAAAGTGTGATAGCACTGAAAGCTGAAAAAAAGCTTGGCCTGGACTGGAAGGGGTTGAAAGTGTCCGGACTTTAAGTGGTTAAATAATATATAAACCCATCCTTTCATATTTATATGTGCCTGCTGTACCATGTACTTGTATGAAAAAGTGTCCTGTTCTCTTTGTATTGCTTCCTTGGTGTAAAATTGCTGGTGTTCCTGCCAGTCCCTCTGCTTTCCTGTAAAAAAAAAAAAGACCACACTAGGCATGAGAGCACAGTGTGGTCAGTTCTGTAGCTGTGCTGGGAGCTAATGCAATCATCAGACTTGTGCTGACACGTTACACGTTTACCCCCCCCCCCCCCCATCCCCGAACAGCCACTCACTGGGAAGATCAGTGTACCCCTCCTTCTCCTCTCCTAGCTTCTTATGTAGCTGAGAACAGAGATTGTGTAATCACTTGTAAAATAAGGGGGAAATACGTATTTATATTGTTTTAATATGTGTACACAAATGTTTTGCCTACACTGAATGTATACACAAATGTTTTGCCTAAAGTGAATGGGTTGTCTTACAAGGTGAGGGTTTACATATACTTAACATAATCGCCTTCTCTTTCTCACTCCTGAGATAGACTAGGGACTATGGACTATGGGACTGGTGCATAAAAACAGTGCACAGCAACTAACTTCTTGATTTAAATAAATGGGAGTGAGAGGAAAAGGGGAGGTTCAGAAGCTCAGGGAGGATGTTATTTTTATCTAGGGGTTAAAGCAGGCAGCATTGTGTTGCTTTCTCAACACCTGCTTTAACCCCTTGGACCCCGCAGAAGCATACAGCATGCTTTCAGAGTGGTCCCATTTACTTGAATGGATCATGATTGGCAGGTGGTAGCACCCACCAAAAGCAACAGGGGGTTTCATTTCTACTGCGGCATGAGTACACCTTTGGCTGCTGCCTCAGCAGCTAAAGGGGGTGGGGATTAGGGTGGTAAAAGTTTGACTCATACACAGGGTTTTAGCACCCCCCAGCTAAGGTTGCTGCTGTTGAATGCAGTTAAGGGCTTGTTCACAAGTGCAGCAGGCACTGCTGCTGCTCTCCTGAAAAGTAATCTGAGTGTATTTGACAGATCTGAGGAGGCGATATGTTGCCTCCTCACCCCCTCATTTAACCACTTGCCATCCTGAGGATTTACCCCCCTTAATGACCAGGCCTCTTTTTGCTATTCTGCACTATTTCAACTGATAATTGTGCGGTCATGCAATTCTGTACCCAAACGAAATTTACGTCCTTTTTTTCACACAAATAGTACTTTCTTTTGGTGGTATTTTATCACCTGTGCGCTCTTTATTTTTCGTGATATAAACAAAAAGACCAAAAATTTTGAAGAAAAACGATATTTTTTACTTTTGGCTATAAAAAAAATATATAGTAAAACTCAAAGTTAGTCATAAATTTAGGCCAAAATGTATTCTGCTACATGTTTTTGGTAAAAAAAAAATCCCAATAAGTGTATATTGATTGCTGTATGTGAAAGTTATAGCGTCTACAAACTATGGTATAGATAGTGCAATTTATGCCATTTTTTTGCTATACAGTGCCGCACTAGTTTAACTGACAATTGCGCGGTCATGCAATATGGGACATAAATTCAATTTACATCCTTTTTTCACATAAATAGAGCTTTCTTTCGGTGGTATTTGATCACCTGTGCGCTTTTTATTTTTGCCGCTATAAACAAAAAATGTTTTGAAAAAATTATTTTGGGGGAAAAAAACAATATTTTTTTTCATTTCTGTTATAAAAAAATATCCAAAAAAACTAAAGTTTTGTAATAAATTTAGGCCAAACTGTATTCTGCTACATGTTTTTGGTTAAAAAATATCCCAATAAGTGTATATTGATTACTTTGTGTGAACGTTATAGCATCTACAAACTATGGTATAGAAAATTGAATTTTCACAGCTTTTACTTTCTGATTGCCCATCACATTTCTTGAGGTGCTAAAATACCAGGACAGTACAAACACCCCCAAATGACCCCTTTTTGGAAAGTAGACACCCTAAGCTATCTGCTGAGAGGCATATTGAGTCCATGGAAGTTTTTTTTTTTCCACACGTGTTTGGAAAATTACAAAAACTTTTTTTTTTACACAAAGTTGTCATTTAAATTATATATTTCTCCCACAAGCCATGGGCATATGTGGAATTACACCCCAAAATACATTCTGCTACTTCAACCGAGTATGGGATAACACATGTGTGAGACGTTTTGGGAGCATAGCCAATACAGGAGCCTTAAATCCAATGACCACTTTGAAAGCCTGAAGATGCATAACTTCCTCATTTCACTTCCTCACTACCTATCACAGTTTCAGAGTCCCTGAAATGCCAGAATAGCACCAAACCCCCCAAATGACCCCTTTTTGGAAAGTAGACACCCCAATGAATTTAAAAAGAGGCATGGTGAGTATTTTGCAGATCTAATTTTTTCTCACAAGGTTTTGAAATGTAAAAAAAAAAAAAATATATGTTTTTGTTTTCTTTTTTCATTTTCCAAAAATGTGTGACAACAAACGAGATCTGCAAAATACTCACCATGTTTCTTATCAAATCCCTTGGGGTGTCTACTTTCCAAAAAGGGGTCAGTTGGGGGGGTTTGGTGCTATCCTGGCATTTCACGGCCTCCAAAACTGTGATAGGTAGTCAGGAAGTGTAATGAGAAAGTAAAGCCCTTTAAAAGCCTAAAGGTGCTTATTGGATTTTGGGGTCCTGTACTTGGCTAGACTGATAAAAAGTCTCTCACATTTGGTACCCCCATATTCGGGAGAAGTAGAATGTAGTTTGGGGAGTAATTCCACATATATCCATGGCATGTGTGAGCAATAAATCATTTTAGTGACAATTTTGTGTAAAAAAAAAAAAAAAAAAAAAAAAAAATTTTTTTGTAATTTTCCAAAAACTTGTGGTAAAAAAATAAATTCTTCTATTGACTCAACATGCCTCTCTGCAAATAGTTTGGGATGTCTGCTTTCAAAAAAGGGGTCGTTTTGGGGAGTGGGGGCATTTTATGGCCAGCATTAGAAGTTTATGCCACGCATCATTCACTCTTCTAACCACCTAAAGACCAAGCCTTTTCTGACATGAAAAAAATCTGTATTTTTTGCTAGGAAATTACTTTGAACCCCCAAACATAATAAAATGGTGGGTACTGCGATTTTTTATGTCACATAGTACTCACGCAGCGATTTTTAAAACACAGATTTTTTTTTAAAAAATACACTTTTTTTACTTTTACTGCATAAAAACACAATATATTGGCCAATTATTTGGTAACTTATAAAAGATGATGGTATGCCAAGTAAACAGATACCAAACATGACATGCTTTAAAAATGTGCATGCCCCATGCAAGGGTGACAAATAGCATACATTTTTAATATCCATAGGCAACACTTTAAAAGCCTTTACAAGCTACAATTTTAGATTTACAAAGGAGTTCTAATGCTAGAATTACTGCCCTTGATCTGACATTCGCGGCGATACCTCACATGCATTGTGCAACCGCTGTTTAGATTCCGGCACAGGGTTAACGCTTGCGTCCCTTTCATTTTTTTTATCACTTTTTATGCTATCACAGGGAATGGAAATATCCCTTATAACTTACATGGGCATTGTCATATATTCTTTTTTGAGAAATCTGGAGTCTATCAGACTCTAGATATCTCCTCTGCTCTTATGGTACTGCCCGAGAAGGCTGTGGAAGGCAATAGCCACTAGGATTGCTTTTACATGAATCTCCGGCTGAAAAAAACAATACCAGGATGATGCTTGCAGCTGTAGGCATCATCCTGGTATAAGCATTATAAGTCCAGTGATGCACCAGTACGTCGCTGGTCCTTGTTGGGTATAATTGCTATGTTCTTTTTTTTTTTTTTTTGTATGCAGCCTGTAGGCTGAATGAAAAAAAGAGAAGAAATCTCTGCCAGAAAAAGTGTGTGGTATGCCCACCATTAGAATATACCGTCCTGCATCCACCCACTTCTAATGGTGGGCACACATTAGGTCGCACGGTGCCACATGCGCCAATTCCATGATTGTACAAATGTCTAAATAGTGGCAAGTGAATAAAAAATTGTCCATGTATAAGTGGTACCCCATATGGAAAAAGGATGACACGAAGTCCCAAACTATATTGCCACTGCTTCCCATGTAGTCTGGGCATCCGGGGGGCTCCACGTGACTATCTTTTCCCTCGTAAATCCGAACCTTATATGTATAGACTGTTGCCCTCTCACAGGTCTTATACATCTTGACCCCATATCTAGCACACTTGCTGGGGAGGAATTGTTTGAATGCAAGGCGGCCAGAAAAATTAATGAGAGACTCATCAGCACAGATTGTTTTGCTGGGGAGTATAGACATCTGCAAATTTTGGTTAATGTGATTTACGAGGTGCTGAATTTTGTGGAGCCGTCAAATTCAGGGTCACCCTGAGAATGACAGAGTGTATTGTCATTGAAATGCGTAAATTACATTATACTCTCATATCTATGCCTGGCCATGGCAGCAGAGAACACGGGCGTATGATGAATCGGGTCTGTGGACCAATACAACCGCAATTCATTTTTTTTAGTAATGCCCATTGTCAGGGTCCTGTCCACTGCAGAGGTTCTGGAAGATCTGGCATTTCTGCCAGTACTCTGCATGGCTGCAGAAGCACACACCAGCCTCAGTTTGGTGCCAGACGGCCTTTATAAGGAGGCTCATCACTTCTTCAAGTTGCTGGATGATCTCTAGCTCCCCGTGCCCTGTTCCTGTTTCCTGTGATATTGACCTGCGATTTCCTGTTACCAACTCGGCTTGCTCCCTGACCTGTCTACTTTGCTTTACTCCTGGTCTGACCTTGGCTTGGCTTATGGATACTCTCTCACTCCTCTGTGTATGACCTCGGCTATCCCATCTGACTGCGTCTGCTCTGATTCCCACCTGGTACCTGACCTTGGCTTGAACCGACTACCCAGTAAACATCTAAATCCTGGAAGGGCTTGCATACCACGCACAGGCGTCTCCTGTCTTCAGACCTATCTCCATGCACCAGTGGTGCTTCTGAGTGTACCACCAATCAGCACTCCTACAGGCGACCTGTTCAACTTTGGGCCTGACTCCCGCTGTCCCACTCTCCATTGGCCTCCATCTCCAGGTACGTGATACCCATGTTGAGGGTTAGGCCCCCAAAAATTTAAATTTGGAACTGTAATGGGTTTCCATGCGAATGGACTGGCAAGGTTTGAATTTGGGTTGGCAGGGATAAATTGTTGTGCATATAAATTGTTTTGATCCACAGTAAATGCATGCAAATCTTCCATGAAAAACAGCTCCAAAAAATCAAGGGGAGTAGTTAAATCTGCTGATTCCATCTGAATTCTGAGTTGGGCAGTGAATGGGGGAAATACGGGTGCTGATTCCACGAACACTGCGGTCTTCTGTGCAATGTACCAAGTGACCTACTGACGCTGCACTTGCTGGGGAATGGGAGGGGGGACGGGGGGGTAAGCATAGGGACTAAAGGCAGGTGCTGGCGCTGTGTTTTTGGGGACACTATACTAATGATTATACGTGATTTTGTGCAGAGGGCCCGTCCTGCAGCAGTAAACGTACTGTTAAAGTTGTTGTAAAAGCTGAAGGTTTGCCCCCTCAATACTTACCTGAGCCTCATCGTGATGCAGCGATGTGAATGACAGCCTCTGCTGTAGCGGGTCTCTTCCATTGGCTCCCACTGCTGTCAATCACAGCTAGTCAGCCAATGAGGATAGAGAGGGGGCAGGGCCAAGCCGTGGCTCCATGTGTGAATGGACATATGGAGCAGCGGGTGCCCCCATAGCAAGCTGCTTGCAGTGAAGGCACCCGACAGACAGGAGGAGCCAGGAGAGCCTGGAGGATCCAGGCTGCTCTCTGCAAAACCACTGCACACAGTAGGTAAGTATAGACATGTTTGTTATTCTACAAAAAAAACCCATTAACCTTTAGAATCGCTTTAAACCCATAATTGTTGTGCAATGCACGTGACTGCTACATGGTAGTACTGCAATTAGAGGCTTAAATCAGGTGTGAGGCGGCGACGCCGGGCCCTGTGATCTTTGATTTCTTCTATGTTTTTCAGGTAGATCTCTACCTCTTTATGGTTGCCTACCCCTGATTTGTAGGATGTCTTGGCTGGTGTGAAATATAAACAAAATATTGCAACACAAAAGGAATAGTTTTTTTTTGTCAAATACCTATCAAGTTTATTAGACAAATGTCTGTTAGAAGGTGCAGCTCATGTGGCCAGGGGGCCGCACAGCAGCACAATCTGTTACCGGTTGTGTCCACGGGATACAGCCGATGACATCACTGCACTGGCCTGCTGCCAGTGTTATGTGACCCCTGGATTGCCTTCATGCCATCCTTTTATACAATTTTGTTGTTAGCTGTGATTGGTCACAGCAATCACATGGTACAAACAGGGCCAATCACAGCCCATATGTACCATGTGATGAGCTTTGTCCAATCACAGCTAATCACAACATAAGAATGAGGAATCAGTTTCATTCCGTAAAAATGGTTGCTAATACTGTATCAATGAAATACATTGGTATTAGCAATCATAGTGTGTAAAAAAACAAAAAACCTGATCACTTGCCTAGAGTAGTACAATATTTCTATGGTAACATTGTATTGCTCTGGTCACATTGTGTTGGAAAAAAAAAAAGTTAAACAAAAAAGAAAACAAAATAATAGAAAAAAACTAAATTAATTAATTAAATTATTTATTATTTTTTTTTAAACATAATGTCACCAATCAGTGTCCCTGATCACCGCCACACCAGTTTTAATGAGAACGTTGTACTGGACTGGAGACAATATGTAAAAATACAAAAAATGTATTTTCCCAAACAATTGTGACAAAAAAATTACAAATACTAAATACCTTGAACTGTCTATTTTCCAAAAATGGGTCATTTGGGGGGTATTTTTACTATCCTAGCATTTACGGCCTTAAGAAATTACATTGTCCGTCAGTACATCAAGATTGATCTATTGTCAGATATATATGCCATAGTTTGTGGACTCTATAACTTTCCTACAGATTAAATATATACACTAATTTGGGGTATTTTTACCAAAAAAATGTAGCAGAATACATTTTGATCTAAATTTATTAAGAAAGGTTATTTATTTGCAAAATTTTTTTAAATGGCCATCAAAGTGCACACAGTTTTCAGCATAGAAATATACCATATATAGGGGGTGGGTCCAAGATGGCGACCGGAGCGGACGTCTGATCCTGGGCTCCGGCGCCTTGAAGTTAAATCCGCTGCCACCCAGGTGACAGCGAGCCTTACACGGCCACCGTAGGCTCTGCGGACCCTGCCTGACACCTGAGAAGGGGTGCCGGGCGTTTTCGTCCCCCCTCTGGCCACTCAGAGATCCGGGCGATTTGCGGCACGCCGCAGTCCTTTTCCGCTACCGCGGCTGGGACGGAACGCTGCCGTGGCCAGGATGGGACGCTGCTGCTCTGTCCCCCAGCCCCCTGCTATAAGGCCAGTTGCTGGGACAGCCTGTGTGGGTCCCCCTGGCTTCTGTGTCGGTCCAGGGCAACACACCAGGCCTACATAGGTTCCAATAGGGCCTGGAGGCCAATGGAAGTGGATGATCAGCCCTTGATAGGGGTGGAGGCTTCACCCATCAGCCCCCCCTTCTATAGAGGGTGAATCAGGGGCTCCTGTGGCCCCCCCTTGCAGGCCTTTATTGTTGCTGACCACCTGGCCTGATTGTCACAGATCCTCGTGTCCCACCGGCTGCTGAGATCTTGGGTCCTACGCCTGCTCTACTTGGGACTTCATCACCCTATGGAAGGTACCGCCGCAGTTACATCTGAAGTCTGTATCTACCCCTCCCTTCCCAGTGCGATAATCTTCTCTACAATTTATTGGCTGTGGCGGGACGCATGATGTGCTCCGCAGCAATGGATCTTATGTGAAAGCAACCCCGTTGGGGGACACGAACACGTAATCGGGGAAGATGACTATGTGATCTCCCTGTGCCGTGCCACTGGAACATATATCTCGGCAATTGGGCTTCTACACCCTGGCGTATAATTTCAACCGGTTGAAGGTGTTTGTGAACTACCTGGACTTCTAAAAATGCACGCACCACGCACCAAACCCAAACACTGGGCCCAGCAGCAATCTCCTCCATATAGCCACACTAGCAAGCTAACGCCCAGCCCCCCAGAGCTTGACCGGCCCTCTTGAACAAAACCCTGAAGCCTTGCTACACAAATTCCGCGCCATAGTGCGGGAGGAGATTACAGTTGCCTCTCGTAAATTATCTTCTGATCTGGTAAGAGGCCTAAAAGAACTGGGCCATCGTGCCCATCAACTGGAACAACGTATGGATCTGTTGACTACGGTCTTGGAGGGCCATGAACAGGAGGTGGATGATCTGCATGCTGATCTGGACACTTTAAAGGATAAATTGGAGGATGCTGAGAATAGAGCCCGCAGAGATAATCTCCGCATCCGCGTGGTCCCTGAGGTAATCACCGATCTACAGGGTATTGCTATCGCACTATTCCAGGAACTGGCTCCTGAGCTCCCCTTGGAATGACTGGAGTTTGACCGTATCCATAGAGCTTTAGCTCCTAAACCCACGGAGGGCCCTCCCAGGGACATTATCATTAAAATTCCACTTTTACCGCACTAAAGAGCATCTACTACAGGTGGCTCGGAATCGTCATTTCCAAGCTTCTTCACCAGCGGATCTTCGCCGCCACTTTCAGGAACTGAAATTGGAGTTACCACACTCCCAGAACGAGGAGGCAACAGTTTCTACACGCCCTCGAAGTTCCCAGTCTTCGCCTAAATCTTCTCCTCCAAGTCAGAGTAGCTCTCAGGCTCTTCGATCTCTACAGGCCCAGCGTTTCCAGGAAGTTTCTGCGACTTGACATTCTGTGTCCGGTTGGGTTATTCACATTTGTTTTTTTTTTTTCTCTTGGAGATGTGGGCGACATTGCCCATATGTGATCCTATGCAGTTATGCCTTGTAGCACTTTCTCCACAGCGGCTAGTGCCCAAATAACAATGTTATTTCTGTGTAGATGCTTCTACTTATGTTATAGTTGATGGGCGGAACTGGCGGCGGCTCTCAGGCCGCGGGTGTCACTCAGCTCACTGGGCAGTCCAGTGGGCGGTCTCACCCCTCCGGCTATTTTGGAGCTTCTTCATTTTTTAAGTTTTAGTATACTGAGATTCCTATTGCCTTACTAGCCAACTATAAGTAAATTGTTCCTGGGGTTTATTAGCCTAAGTTGTTTGTTTAGTATTTTCTTGCCTTAACTAAGTCGAGTAGTTCCGGTAGACTATGGTGTCCCCCTCCGAGCTGGTTAGTGGACTGGTATTTCATCCACAGTGAATTATTAAGATGTTTGTGCTAAACTTACTGTTTCATATGAATATTGCTCGTATACCAGATGGTTTCTTGTTTTCTTCCTTCTGTCCTGTCTTTTTTTCTCTGTTTTTTGTCATGTGTGTTTTGTGTTTTTATCAATTTTATTTCAGAGCTCTCGGGGATCGTAGCGGAGATGATCTTTTTCCCTTCCAATTGCCATGTCGCTAAACTGGTTATCCTTGAATGTTCAGGGCATGAACTCTCCGCAAAAACGGGTAAAGATATTTAGGTTTCTACGGGGCTCGCCATGTCAACATTGCTTGCCTGCAGGAAACTCATTTTTCAAATACCTCTGCCCCTAAATATTTCGATGCACGCTACCCTCAGGTTTTTCAGGCTACTGGCCCTACTAAACAAAGGGGAGTCCTTGTTGCTTTTCACGGCAAAACCCCATTTGTTTGTGTGAAGCGTATTGCTGACCCAAGCGGCAGGTATATTTTATTACAGGGCGCGATTCAGGGTATCGATGTTACAATACTGACCTATTATGCTCCCAATGTCAACCCTGGACCCTTTCTATCACATATCTGCTCCCTCCTGGCTGTTCATCAACGGGGTACTCTTCTGCTGGCAGGAGATTCCAATTTAGTATTAAACCCATCCCTAGATAAATACCCTGCAAAAAACTCTAATTATTCCACGTCGGCCAAATCCTTCACCCATACGTTAAGTACCCATGACCTGGTAGATTTATGGCGTGATTTCCACCCCCGAGGAAAAGACTATACCTACTACTCTCAACCTCATCATTCTCATTCAAGAATTGACCATGCTTTTGTATTGCGTAAACAACTTCCTTTGGTACGCTCTGTCTCTATCCTCACGGTTCCATGGTCCGATCATGACCCCATTTTGGTGGTTTGTCGATCTCTCCTCTGTAAGCCATCCTACTCCTTTTGGATTATGAATGACTCTCTACTTTCACTGAAGGA